GCAGGGGGGGGGGGGCACTCACTCCTCCACCATCTTCTTATAGGTGGAGATCTCCTTGGCGTAGAGTAGTTTGTTGCTGGGAGAGTCCTGTGGGGGTCAGAGCCAAGTGACACCCAGGCCAAGACACCTGCACGCGCTCAGGATACCCAGAGAAAGAGGGGTGTGCGGGGGATGGGGGTCCAACGGCGGTAGCTGCCCTGCCCAGCCACAGACCCGACACTGTTTTCGTCATTTTGTGATTAATAGTAAAAGTCACTTTTTCTCTCGCACGGAAGGGGAAGGAGCTCGGGGTCCCAGGCTGCCACAGGTCCACTGCCCAGGGGGCCTCCCTCCGCCCCAGGTACCCTGCACCTGTCTTTCTACTGAGCTCCAGCCCCCGCTGTGCAAGTCCACGCCCCAAACCGACCTCCTCACCTGCATCACAGCCCCCCTCCCCTGATGCTTCGCGCTGCCAGGAAGCGGGCTGGGCTGCCCGCAGCTGCACTCACACGGCTCAGCTTGTGCTCTGTGCGTGTGCAGGCGTCCATGAAGGTCTGTGCGATGACTGACAGGGAGGCGTCCACCACCTCGTGGACGTGCACGTCGAAGATGAAATGGGGGTTCTTGAGGATGTTCACCCAGAACCGGAGAGGTAAACTGAGGCGGGACGACAGGGTGTGAGGGGCCGCCGAGGCCTGGAGCAGGGCGGGTGGGGCGGGTGGCGGCACGGAGCCCACACCTGTTGGTCTTCCAGATGTGGATGGTGTCCTCGTCCTTGATGTCGTGCTTTTCCGCCTGCTCGTCCAGGAAGTCAAAGAAGTACTTGACTGCGGGCGGCACCGCGTGGCCGGGCGCCAGCACGCTCTGGAAGACGTTGTCCACGAACTGCTGCAGCGTGCCCTGCGGGGCGGCAGCGGGCTCAGCGCGGCCCGCGGGCGCCGTCCCAGGCCTGCCTCCCACACGCCCCCCGCGGCCCACACGCCCTCCGCGGCCCACACGCCCCCCGCGGCCCACCTTGACCGAGAGCAGGCGGGTCAGGTAGATCTCGGTGATGGCCTTGGTGCGCTCCTTCTCCTTCACGCTGCCACGCTTGGACTTGCCCTCGTCCACCTCGTCCGTCGGCCGCACCAGGTGCCACACCCGGTTCTCCTCCTCCAGGAGGGCGTGGCCTGTGGGGGAGGTGGGTGCTGAAGGACGAGGACCGGAGCCCGGGGCCTGGGTCCCGCGCCAGGCTCACAGCTCCCCCGAGACGGTGGCATGGGGCGGACGCTAGCTCGCGATGACCTCCAGAGGCCAGAAGGGCCCGGACGAGGGGAAGGGACTCACGCTCCCCAGGCAGGTCCTGCTGGCTGTCCTCAGGCTGCTGGGAGACCCCCACCTTCGACAGGATGAGAGTGGCTCCATCCCGGACCTGGGGAACAGAGTCGTGAGGGCGGGCCTCCTGCCCCACTCTCAGCAGGGGCTTCGGCCCACCCGGCCGCCACACTCACGTTGTAGTGCATCAGCGTGTTGACGCGCTTCCACCGGCCCTCCCGCTGAGAGGTCAGGTCCAGGTCTGACAGGATCTGGGCTGTGGACCCAGGACGCCACTCTGTGGGAGGACACGGCCCAGCTCCTGGCACCCGGCCACAGCCCACCCTGTCCGGGCTCCCTCTCGCTATCCCCCACCCGACCTGGCCGACCGGGCTTCCACGGGCACAGAACCAGGCACACGAGGGTGGCGCTCACCGAGGACCACACTGTCAGCCTTGGGCCAGCGGGAGCAAGGCTGCGTGCGGTACACCTGGTCGATGATCTTCTCCTTGACCTGGGAGATGGTGTCACAGTTGAGGACCTTGACAGGGATGGCGTCGACCCCTTCGTCCTGGACGATCACGCTCACCATCTGCCGGGGGCCACAGAATGAAGGGCCAGTTGGGGAGGGGCCCTCGCCCTCGCTCGCCCCAAACCGGGGGCAGTCGTGGGGCTCCCCCCAGTGGCGACACCCTCAGGTGGAGGAGTGGGGGGGGATCCTGAGCCCCTTCAGCACCCAGGCCTCACCCTTTCCTGCACGCCATGGCTCAGCAGGACAGAGGGCAGAGGACTGCTCACTTCTAGGTATCACGCGACACACAGGCATCACGGGGGCACACACCACGTACCCCCTCCACACGCACACGAGTTTACCACCACTCACTTGGTGTGCCCAGGCCCCTCAAACGCCTGCAGCAGGCCCGGGCACCCAGGAGGCAGCTGGCTTGGGGTCATGACACTTAGAGCCTCTCTCCAGTGACCCACGAGCCTCTGCTGAAGACCCATGACCCAGGCCCCTCCCTGAACACGGGTGGGCCCAGCACGGGGAATGGGTTCTAATGCAAGTCCACGAAGGAGGCAAGTGGCATCAGCTTCTGGTCCCGAGGCTGGCCTGGAACCTGGCCCCTGAGGTCTCCCAGCAGCCCGCCCAGCCCCAGGGGCTCACCAGCGGTGCATACTCCACGTCATCCCCCAGCAGCCCTGTGTCATTGAGGGTGTATTTGGCTTTCTTCTGCACAGCATCCACCGGCCCCTTCTCCACCTGATGCTTGATGGCCTTGAAGAGCTTGTACAGCGGCTCCCCTGCGCTGTCCTGGAGCAACACAGGGCGGCTGAACCATGGGTGGGACTGATCGTGCCAGGGTGGGAAGCAAACCCGTCCAGGTGGAGCTGGGCCGCAGGGAGGTGGACATCTGGGGGATACAGCACCACCCCGTCCCTCCCCACCCCCTGGCAGGGCTGTGTGGAACCCACCTTGAGATACTGGTACAGGCAGATGGACATCCAATTAGACAGCATCCTCTCCACCACTGTCTCAGACCTGGAGATGCAGAAAGGCCTTGTGCTGAGGGGCCCTTTAGTGCCCCTAGGATCAGCTGGCTCTTCCAGGTACCCAGACCACCCTCAGAGCAGCCTAGCCGCCGTCCAGGCCAGAGTCTCCGTCAGGCTGTACATTTACAGCCTGCAGTGACCAATCTCCCAGCCCCCTCAGGGTGGGCCTTTCATCTTCCACCCCATCCTACAAAGGGCCGATGAGAAGGGGGAGCAGATAAGTGGCCAGCACAGACCACCTGCTAGCAGCGATGCCCC